AAAATTATAAAGTCATCCCCCTATTTTCTAATGTTGTTCATTTATTCATTGTAATAAAATATCTTCTTAAAAGGTAATGAAAATTATAAAGTCATTATTTTTTATGTGAGAATTAAGAATTTCAGACCCTAACATAGACTTGTTCGGGCTTGCCTCGAGGGGCATGGTATAAAGGCAACTCATAGAATCAAGAATGCAATATGTTTTACATCACATTAGCTACTCGAAGCAATGCAATTAAGGAGAAAAAGAGATTGTGGGTTTTACATGCTTGAAAATGCTTTATATGCTTGCTTTTATTTTTAAAATTTTCATTTCAATAAGCTTTACATGTTATATTTATGTATTTTAATTTTAGATAATAGGTTTTTTAAAACATTTATTTTAAAATTTAAGTTTATATCTTTTATTAACATTGTGTTTAATGGTTTTTGATTTTTTTTGCATTTTTAAAATTTTTTTTGGCATTTTTAAAATTTTTTGGCATTTTTTTGAAATTTCTGATTTTTTAGCCTTTTTTTTTGTAATTTTATGCCTTGCTTAGAAAGGCGCACGCCTTGCCTTGCACCTTGCGCCTCAGGCGCAAATTGGCCCTTGCACTTTTTTTGTGCCTTGCGCTTTTAAAACACTGTGTTTACTCCCACTAAATTACTTTTTTAGAAATTCACTTTAAGTCCTGACACCATTTCAAAGCATGTTAGAATCCGCTTCAGACTTTTTATGTCTCCAAATCAGCATTCAAGAAAAAGAGAATATCATCAGCAAAGAGTAGATGGGATACCTGAATTTCTTCTCTGCCCACTTCAAAGCCTTTCAGCAAATTTAAACTTTTTGCTCTCTCGAAGAAACGACTTAACACATCAACAACTAGGGTGAATAATAAGGTTAATAAGGGGGAGAGTGGACATCCTTGTCTAAGGCCCTGTCTAGCCTTAAAGTAGCCTTTAGGCTCTTTGTTCACCAATACAGAAAACCAGGTAGAACAAATACAACCTTTTGTCCACCACACCCATCCAGAGCCAAAGCCTTTTAACTGCAGAATCTCTAGGAGGCAATTCCAATTGACTTTGTCGTATGCCTTTTCTAAGTCGATTTTCACTGCCACTCCTGGGATATTTTTTTGTCTTCTTTCTTGTAAGCATTCATTGGCCACTAGAATACTGTCACAAATGAAAATCAAGTTAAATTTTGATAATAGCAGTATGGGTAATCTGGGACCTTCTGGAATTAGTGGTCTTTTCAGAGACAGCAATGGGCAGATACTTGCTCTACACTGAAGTCCCATTGGATTTGGTGATTTTACATGAGCAGAACTGAGTACAGTACTTCATGGATTAAGACTGGCTGGATCATTGAACATCAACAACCTGGTTGTGCATGGGGACTCTAGGGTGGTTGTATGCTGGTTAAAAAAACAGAAATAAGACTCCTTGGAAGTATCAAAAAACTATGAAGGAAATACAGGAATTGGGCAAGGATAGAATCCCAAGCTATATTTGGATACATAGATCAGCCAATAGTTTTTTTTTTGATGAATAATAATAAGTTTATTGATTCAGAAGCAACTTTAGAGTGAGTTCATACATCATCCCAACGAGAGGCACGAGCTGCAGCCCCTCCTTGAATCTTACAAGTAAACTAGGAAAGAAAAACAAGAATCACAACTGAGCC